CCACGGGCCGCGGGGCGCTCCGCCTAACGCCTCTGCCTGAGCGTAGGGCTGGCTGTTGTGTGGCCTCCTGTCACAGACTCTGGTCGAGGGGTCCTGTTTCAGTGGCTCCGTTCCCCCGGTTACCGAGTGAGCCTCACTTCACTCAGGGTTGGGCTGTCCAGGCGTAGGTGCCAGTTTCATAACGGCCTGAGGGAGTTCCTAAGTGCCCAACTTCGGCCTTCAGGTAAACGCCTCTTCAGAATTTCCGGGCCTTTCTTGTTTGTGTCTAACTGTGTCTACCGTAACAGGATTACTAGAATGATAGCTGAAATGTACTGTACATTTATGATGATCCTGGCACTGTTTCAAGTGCTTGCTATATTATTAACTTGTGATGCACGCGAGCGCGCGCTCGCACACACACACACACACACACACACACACACACACACACACACACACAAGGTTTCTCTGTGTAGCCCTGGCTGTCCTCAAACTCCACCTGCCTCTGCTTCCCAAGTGCGGGCTTTAAAGGCGTGCGCTCCACCACTGCCTGGCCCTCAGCCTCTTGAATGCAGGCCACTTGAAACTGCAGGCCAATTGAAAAGTGTTCATGTATGATGCGCGCTTATCAGGAACTGTACTGTTCAGTAACTTTCTGCTGGCTACAGGTAGCTTTGAATTCTTCAAATGGGAATGTAATACAGGTGTAAAATACACACTGCATTTCTGACCTTGCATGGAAAAAACTATTTTTAATATGAATTACTTAGTGAAATATTTAGATATGCTAGGTTAAATAAAAATGTTAAAATCTCTTGTTTTAAAACCTTTTGAACATGAGTTACAATTTTTAAATTATTTAAGGAGAAGAATGGGGAGATGACTCAGTCAGGAAAGAGCTTGTCATGAAAGCTTGAGGACCTGAGTTTGGATCTCCAGTACCCAAATTAAAAGCTAGGTGCAAAGCCCAGCATGATCTCAGCACTGAAGACGCAGAAGAAGCAGATGGATCTCTGTGAGGTAGAGGCCAGGATGGTCTATACAGTGTGTACCAAGACAGCCAAGGCTACATAGACCCTGTTTTGTTTGTTTGTTTGTTTGTTTTGTTTTTGTTTTTTTTTGTTTTTTTGAGACAGGGTTTCTCTGTGTAGCCCTGGCTGTCCTGGAACTCACTCTGAAGACCAGGCTAGCCTCGAACTCAGAAATCCACCTGCCTCTGTCTCCCAAGTGCTGGGATTACAGGCGTGCGCCACCACTGCCCGGCAACCCTGTTTTTTGAGAAAAAAAAAAAAAAAAAAAAGCTGGGTGGAGCAGTTTTTGCCTGTAATCCTAACAACATGGGGGTTGAAGCAGAAACGATCCCTGGGGTTTGCTGCTCAGCTAGTCTAATGAACCAGTGAGTTCTGGGTTCAGTAACAGAAAATGTCTCAAAAAATAAGGTATAGAGTGATTGAAAAAAAACCCTACACATGTGAACAAGTGTGCAGACACACACACGAGAACATATAAGACATACTAATTATGGTAATCTGCATTTTATTTCTTTTTTGTGACAGGGTCTCTCTCTGTGTACTTGGTGCTGCCCTGGAACTCAGATCAGGCTGGCCTTGAACTCATAAAGAGACTCACTGGCCTCTACCTCCTGGGTACTAGGCTTAAAAGCATACATATCTTTTTTTTTCTTTTTTTGTTTTAAGCTAGGCTCTGGTGGTGTAGATTGAGCTCCTTTCAACTATTCCTCTGTCTCCTGAGTGCATTCATTATACTTCTCTTGAACACTGCTACTCTAGAGACAAAACAGTACCAGTCTGAAGGCATTAGAAAAACTGCTTGAATAAAAATAGGGGGAGATGATTTAAGTGGGTGGTCCTGAAGATAGAACCCTACGGCCTAGAACATGCTAAGTTTGTATTCTATCAAGCAACTGTTCTTCTAATAGAATGATTTTCCCCTTTAGAGGTGGGATCTCTCTTTAGCCCAGGCTGGCCTCACTTTTTTGGTAACCCTTCTGCCTCAGAGTCCTGAGAATGCTTTTGAGCTTGGAATTGACCAAGGTTCAGCAAAAGGTATCTCAAGAACTGTTTGTGGTCTCTGATGGCTATTCCTGGTTGCCAACTTGACTACATCTGGAATGAACTACAATCCAGAAATGAAGGGCACACCTTTGATCCAGATCTTGAGGCTGGAAAATACAGGCTTCTGACTCTCAGATCTTGACATGGAGATCTTGAGGCATAGTGACCATAAATACCTTGAGGCCCAGGCAAGGTAGTACATCCCTTTAATCCCAGGAGACTGAGGCAAGCAAATCTCTGAGTTCAAGGTCAGCCTGAGACAAAGAAAGTTCCAAAATGAGGCGTGGTAGTACACACCTTTAATCTGGGCCACATTTTCTGCTGGAGGCCTACAATTGAAGAAGGAAGGCTCACTCTTCTTTGCCTGCTTGCACTTGCCAGCACATCTGTTATAACCTACTTCTTCAGGATTCCAGCTTAAAAGACCAGGTGAAACAACTAGCCTCATGAGACTGAGCAACTATTAGGTATTTGGACTTCCCATTCACAGCTGCCCATTGTTGGGTTAGTTGGACTGCAAACTGTAAGTCATTACAATAAATTCCCTTTAAATATATAAAGACATTCCATAAGTTCTGTGACTCTAGAGAACCCTAATACATGGTCCATCAAAAAGACCAAGCAAGGTTAGAGAGATGGCTCAGTGTTTAAGAGCACTGACTGCTCTTCCAGAGGTCCTGAGTTCAATTCCCAGCAACCACATGGTGGCACAACCATCTGTAATGGGATCTGATGCCCTCTTACAGTGTGTCGGAAGAGAGCAATAGTGTACTCATATACATAAAATAAATAAATCTTAAAAAAAAAAGACCCAGCAAATAAATAGTGGGAAGTGTCAGAAAAGTCCAAGCAGGTAAATGTTAGCAAGTTTATACCATACAGATGTGTGCGGGATGCTCAGTCCTGGGGGTGTTTGGCATGTGAGATCATACAAAGATAGTGTGCTCCCAATAACAAACAAGGATAGGGGGTAGAGAGGAAGGAAAATACTGTAATACCTTGGTCAAAACCATATTTGTGATAAGTAAAATAATGTAAAGATGAATTAAAGGTAGATCAAGTCTATCCTCAGGAAATGATCAATTGTATGTATACTTTTATATAAACACATGTATGTACATACAGACTAATTTTGTTAATACATACATACAATTTTTTTTCTTTTTCTTTTTCTTTTTTTTTTTTCGAGACAGGGTTTCTCTGTGTAGTCCTGGCTGTCCTGGAACTCACTCTGTAGACCAGGCTGGCCTCAAACTCAGAAATCCACCTGCCTCTGCCTCCAAAGTGCTGGGATTACAGGCATGCGCCACCACTGCCCGGCAAGACTTATTTTATATATGTGAGTACACTGTCATTGTCTCCACACACCAGAAAAGGGCTTCAGATCTCATTACAGATGGTTGTGAGCCACCATGTGGTTGTTGGGAGTTGAACTCAGGACCTCTGGAAGAGCAGTCAGCGCTCTTAACCACTGAGACATCTCTCTAGAGCATCCCTTCTTCTTCTTCTTCTTCTTTTTTGAAACAGGGTTTCCTGTATCCCTGGCTGTCCTGGAAATCACTCTGTAGACCAGGCTAGCCTCAAACTCTCAAACTCAGAAATCCGCCTGCCTCTGCCTCCCAAGTGCTGGGATTAAAGGCGTGCGCCACCACCGCCCGACTTGGAACTCACCTTGTATACCAGCTAGCCTTGTTGTCACAGAGGCCTACTCTGCCTCTGCCACATTAAAGGCATGTACCACCACACCCAGCCAGCTTTCTCCTTCTTTTTCCACTTAGATTTTTCATGTTTCTTCTATGTTCTCTCATGTTTCCTCCCTATTTATTTATTTATTTGGTTGGTTGATTGGTTGATTTTTTCCAGATAGGGCTTCTCTTTGTAGTCCTGGCTGTCCTAGAACTCCCTCTATAGATCAGGCTAGCCTCAAAATCAGAGATCCAGGGCTGGAGAGATGGCTCAGCAGTTAAGAGCACTGACTGCTCTTCCAGAGGTCCCGAGTTCAAATCCCAGCAACCACATGGTGGCTCACAACCATCCATAGTGAGATTGGATGCCCTCTTCTGGTGTGTCCGAAGACAGCTACAGTGTACTCATAGTAAAATAAATAAATCTTTAAAAAAAAAATCAAAGATCCAGCTGCCTCTGCCTCCCAAGTGCTAGAGTTAAAGGCATCTGCTACAAAAATCAACTATTGGCATTCTTTTTAAAAGAAAACATTGTCTCAGGTTAGCCTTGAACTCACTATGTAACCAGGGAAGATGATTTGAACTTTTTTTAAAAAAGATTTATTTTATGCATACGAATGCACCATTGCTCTCTTCAGACACACCAGAAGAGGGCACCAGACCTCATTATAGATGGTTGTGAGCCATTACATGTAGTTGTTGGGAATTCAACTCATGACCTCTGGAAGAGTAGTCAGTGCTCTTAACTGCTGAGCCATCTCTCCAGCCCAAATCCCTGGATCTTAAAAAAAATAAAGGTGTTGGGATGGGTAGCTAGGCTGACTAAGGCTTTCCCTGAGGCCTGATGTGTGGAGGACTGAAGTTCCTTATCTTAAAATAAGGAATATGCTTAGCAGAGCTAATAGTCTGGGGCGAGGGCCCTGGGGGAGCTGCTGCTTTATATACTGAGACACCAACTCTTTCCCCCTAAAAGGCTGTTAATCCCAAGGCTGCTATGTGCTCCTCTGTGACGCATTTGTTTCCCCTTCATTCAACATTGCGATTAGTTTCCTGCTGACTTCAGTCCACTATAAGACAGTTTTCTGATGATTCTATCTCATTTTCCTGTATATAAGATGCTGTACTTAATAAGCCTGCTTGGTGTGGCATAAGATATAGCTTGGGCATGACCCAATCCCATTCTTTCCTTCTTCATTTTCTGATCCCCTGGTCCTCTGCTGGTCCAGTTCAGAAGCAAAAACAAAACCAACTCTATATCTTGGGTTGTACGGCAGAAATGATCAATTTAATAATCCTTGTGACTTTTTTTCCCCCCAGTTTCTCTGTGCATCCATGAGTATCCTGGAACTCACTCTGTAGACCAGGCTGGGCTCAAACTCAGAGATCTACCTGCCTCTGTGTCCCCAGTGCAGGGATTAAAAACATGTGCCACCACTATCACCTGGCATCTGACTTGTTAAAACATATAAATAGTACCTAGGGAGTCCACAGAGTGTCATTATTGCCCAAGAAAGGAAGTATGGTAGAAAAACATAGATAAGGTAAAGTTCAAGAAGCCTTTGTTTGGCAGCTCAAGTAAAAGTATTGGAGAAGTGAAGGTCATTGCCTTGACCCACAATTGAGAGGTGGGTTGTGTGATAGGAAAGCATTAGGGGCAGTTTTGGCTATTAGTTGCAGAATGCCAAAAATTAAACTCTGGCCCATTACCTACAACAGAACAGTAAGGAATAACAAAGTAGAAATTGGATCTTCATAGTGGTGATACTGAGTGGTTTCTGTCTGGCTGCCTATCTACAGTAGAGAATCAGTAGAGATAGAGTGGACCAAGGACTCCAGATCACAGTCAAAGTCCTCAAAGGACATGAACTCCAATGGCCTGGGCCAGGTATCTTGTGTCTCCATGACAAAGTTCACTGGCTGCTTCTGTAGGAGCTCAGGGTCAAAGGCCACACCCCGAAAGAAAGGGTGGACCTGGAAGTGATGCAGATATCGTAGACGGTGCAGAGGGTTCTGGCATAAGAGCTGAAAGAAAACAAAGTTTGAGACTGGGATAAGAAAGAGACTGAACAGAGATGATGTCAAGGGAGCAAACAGTTCATGAGCTGTGGAAGGCAGGCAATCCTGAAGCACAGATTTGTGAAAGAGAAACATGGTGATTGGAGAGACTGGGAGGGCTGGTGGCAAAAAAGGAAATGGTTTTGGATTTTTCAGATGATAAAGTAGCACTGGCCTGTGTGCTTCAAAAGGACCTGTCTGTCCTGGATGAGGATTTAGGGTGGCAGAAGCTCAGGAATGAAATATGCAGTACCAGTTAGAGGGGAAATGGGTAGTCAGACATCTCAATTCCCATCAAAAAGAGGGGGTGGGTAGGGAAATACCACTTCAATGAAAAGATGATGAATAGAAAAAGGAAGATAGTGTGTGTGCTTACCTCATGGAGCAGGAGTGAGAGCTCCTGATTAATAGACGCTGGGATCTCAGATTCACAGTGGGTCACGCTTGCCAACATGGTCACATGATCTCTCTCTGCAGCCACTGGGAACTGAATTAAAGGGGTAGCAGGTGGGAAGGAAAGGTTTTCTAAGGTCTTTTTCCACCACAAAGCAAAGCTCTTTTCCCTGCTCAACACCATTAACCATTCTCTCACCTTACCAGTTGCCAGAGAGAAAAGCAATACTCCCAGGGACCACCAGTCAGCAGTGTGGTTGTAAGGCCCACCACTCAGGACCTCTGGGGCTATGATAGGAAACGTACTTATCACTCACATCCTTACATCATCTTCCCCACCAGCTTTAGCTTCTCTCTCACCCATGTATTGAAGAGTGCCGCAAATAGTATAGGCTCGTGCTCCCTGGGATAGGCGGCGAGACAGACCAAAGTCTGTCACTTTCAGATGACCTACGAAGTAAGGAAACTGTGTTCAACCCATGTTTGTTTTTTAAGAAGTACCACTCAAACCGGGCAGTGGTGGCACCCACCTTTTAATCCCAGCACTTGGGAGGCAGAGGCAGGCAGATTTCTGAATTCAAGGCCAGCCTGGTCTACAGAGTGAGTTGCAGAACAGCCAGGGCTACACAGAGAAACCCTGTCTCAAAAAAAAAAAAAAAAAAAAAGTGCCACTCATCCTGGGGGCCAAGGAAGGAAAAGACATACCTCGTTCATCCAGCAGGATATTCTCCATCTGAAATCATGGGCAAGAGGACATTATCTTACTCCTTCCTTTGGCTCTGATTTGTTTTTTCATTGTTGTTTTGACATAGAGTCTTACTATGTAGCTCAGGCCAGCTGGGAATTTGGTATATATACCAGGCTAGCCTCAAAACTTATGGCACTCCTCCTGCCTCCCAACAGTGCTGGGGAATAGACAAGGAAGACCACACCTGGCGTTCTTTCATGTAGAGCTGCTAGCTGGAGGTCTACTCAGCACTCAAGCCTGGGAGGACCCACACCCAAATCCTTTGCATCTATAGGAACCCAAATCAACTGTCTCTGCTTCCTACTGCTTTCTCAGACCTGTTGAAATTTCTTGAGATTCTTGCTCAACCTAAGAAAAAAGACTTGACTCTACCTTTACATCACGATGGATGATACCCAAGTCATGGAGATAGCCTGTAGAGAACAGTGAGCATGGGTGTGTCTGCTAGTTTCTTTGTAGCCCCTATCCCTTCTCTACCCTGACTTCCAAAATTAGTTATTAATTCTGTTTCCTCCTCCCCACTAACTTAATTCTCCCCTTTTCATTTCCTTTACCACATTTTCACTTACACAGTACAAGGACCAGTTCAGCTGCAAAGAGACGGATAGAATCCTCTGGAAAACAACCAACAGCAGACCACAGGGAGTAGAGATCCATGCTGCAGTAGCTACACACTGCAAAGCACCAGAAGTCTAGACAATACTTGAGGTTCTATACTATAATGCCTGGGCTCAAGGCATTATGGACCTCCTGCCCAAACTAATGCCACCATCTTTCCCTCTTTTGGATTATAGAAATGCTATGACGAGAGGAGCCAAACAAAAGCAGAATAATGTCAGGTGGGGAGGGCAGTATATGGACATTTGGGATGAAGACAAAACCCAGTCACTCACTAATAAAGAGGTGTCGTTTCCCCTGCCAGCTGTCCCCCAAACTGTGTACAAAAGGATGGTTGATCTGCCGCTAGGGACAAAGAAAACAGCAAGTTAGGAAAGAACAAGCTTTTTGATGATAAAGGCAGCCAGGAAATCACATGTTGCCTTATGTAGAAATGAACTGCTGCTTCACCTTCTGATTCAGAACTCATTTGGGACTCTCTCCCGGAAAACCCTGGAGCCAGCACACTGCTTAGGAGCACACCAAGATAGGTTGTAGAGTTCCCTGGCAGAACTTGGAGCATGTCCACAGCTAATAACTTTTGTCAGGATTTACTTTGGTGCTATACTACACCAGGATGGAAACATACAGGGAAGGTAGAATCAAGAAAAGCAGGTAAGTTGGAAAAAGAAAGGTACTCTCTCCACCAACATTTCAGTTCTTCAGCCATGCTTTCAGAATTCTGCATACCTGGATGCTAACCTCCTCTTTGCACTGCCTCAGGGTATCCTGCTGTAGAACCTTTACTTTGGACACCACCTATAAGTGGAGAGGCATGGTAACACATGAAAATAATGCTATTTTAACTTGTTCCCCCTAATCTCTGGAACTAAGATTACAATCAAGGGACTACTGAGAAAGCTACATGGCTTGACTTGTACCTTCACTGCAAATACAGCTTTCTGGGCACAATCTAGCACTTTCAGGACAGTTCCAAATGAACCCTTAGCCACAAGGCCTAAAATCTGAACAAAGAGGGCAGCTTGAGACTGGTTGTTTCTAGATTCCTCCCCTAAAACAGATTTCCCAGGGACTACAATGACCTACCTTCAGTTCCTGCTGTTCCCTAACAGGCCTCATGGGAAACTCTGGTAGAAAGAGGCTGATGAACTGAGGCACTGGCCACTCTGACAGAGGTTTCTCTAGTAGCAGTGGGGCTGGCTGGAGGAGCTCCTGACGTTGGCACTGATGTCTCTGTAGTTCCCATAGTTCTTCCAGACCTGACCTGATGGTCCCCATACCACACCAGAGGCTCTTCCAGCCTCGAGCACAGTGACCCTGGATGTTGCCACCCTGCTGAGAAGGGAGCCACTCTAAGCCTTCTCATGAAGCACTGCACGTTCTGCCCATCTTAACAGGTACTCATTCCTCTAGTCTTAACCTCTAGAGCAGTAGTTCTCAAGCTTCTCAAATGCTGTGACCTTTTAACACAGTTCTTCATGCTGTGGTGACCCCTAACCATAAAATTATTTTTGTTACTTCATAACTGCAATTTTCCTGTTATGAATATATTAATATCTGATGTTACATATCTGATGTGACCCCTGTGAAAGGGTTGTTCAACCTCTAAAGAGGTCACAACACACATGCTGACAACTACTGCTCTAGAGGGAAGGAAAGTTCCCAGGCTTTGTGATGTGACCTAGATTTCCTTGACATAATTCAAAATCTCTATGACAATAACAGTTGTATGTTTTCTCTACAACATAACAGGAATACAACCTGTGTGTAAGTGGGTTATTCACATTATAGCCTCTATGCCCACCCCAACACTCAGTGACAGGCTCCTAATGAGGCACTTTCTAGTCCCGGGCTCCTACATCTTTCACTTCCCTCTCAAAGGCAGCCAGTCTATACCAGAGCCCCATACCCTACCTTTTGAGGAGCAGACACCCGGGTGTGTTGTCCCTGCCGACAGCTCACTGCTCCCATCCCAGCCCTCTGCCTCCTTTCCTTCTGCTAAATCTGCTGTCCCAGTTACATAAGCAATTCCTTTCTCTGATGCTGCATTACCCATGAGCCCCACCTCTTCCAGTGTACACAGACCCATCAGCTTTAGATCAGCATCATACCCAAACTGGGAAGTATCTGTGATTATAAGACTTCAAGGCAGAGGAGAAAGACCACTGTCATTACAGGGGCAGTTAAAAAATGTGTTGGGTTAGTGAGGAGGGAAGGACACAGACAACTTGAATGCTTTTACTCAATACAATTAAAAAAGGCCAGCATCAAATTTAAAATATTTTTTCTTTAAATCTTTTTTTCTCCATTCTCCCAGGCATACCCCAGGGAGGAAAGTATGGTACCCATGGCCAGCCCTGGCTCCTAATGCCATCCTCCCAAGTGAGCACAGAGATTAAGAAGCTTATCCCCCCCAAACCTAACACCTCTTATACAACAAGGCAGTGGAGTGAGGCACAGAGGATCAGACTCCTCCCCTTAGCTTATTGGCACAAAGGGAGAGCAACTACATTTAGAAATATATATATATGTTTTATATATATATATATGTCTTTATAAAAATTTATCATACTTGATCAAAACTATCCCCCCACCCTTTCTGTTGCCCCAAAGGAGCAGGATACTAGGCTTAGACACGATCCCTGGGTCTTCTGGTTTCCTTGCCCCTCTGGCAGGGGGGCCTAATACCATGAGAGGGAACTCAGCACTTTTGTCCACCATGCCCTACAGGGACAGGCCAGCTGTTGAACAGTATCTCTCTCAGTTCCCATATGCCCCACAAATCCTGCGGGATGAAGGTGCCTGGATCCTGAGCCAGAGTCAATTCTATACTGCAGCCACTTGGGTCTCCACATCACTTGCGCCTGCCAAAGATGGACTTCTTGCCAGGGTTCTTGTCACCCACACTTAAACCGATGAGGAGCCGAGCTTTCTCTTCTTCCTGCTGTTGCATGTTCAGGTCACACTTTGTTTCTAGCTTTCCCCGAACCTCAGACCCAGTTGCAGGTTTCAGCCTTAGTTTTTCTTTGATTACCTGGCAGCGGAAAGGAAAAATATTAGTGGAACAGGCTGCACAGTTTAAAGTGAACCAATTCAAAGATTTATTAAACTTACATGCAAAGCACAACAGGGTACTTCAAAGTATATAGATAATGGTCTCTGCTTTTAAGAAGCTTACAATCTAATCAGAACCAATCATAAAGCTGATCTTGTAGAAGCCCTTAATTACCTTAAAATTAATGAGTCAATATATATGAAAACAGTAGATATTTAATCATACTGGGGCAAAGGCATAGACAAACAAGGACAGAATCAGTCATTATCTGCCCCCTTCTTGGCTACCTCTTAAAATAATACAGAACAGAAGGTTCCTAGGAAGGCAATTTGCTTGCCAGTCCCTGCTAACGAAACAGCCATGAGCCTTGGCGGGATACCTGAGCAACCAGAGCTTTTCGGCTGTCCCTTTTGACAGCCATGGCAAAATCCAGCCATGTCCACGTGTTGTTGTGGTACTCCAGACAGGGTAGCACCAAGTTAAGGTCACCCCAGTCCACACTGTTCTTCTCACCCTGCATGAGGAAAAGGAGGTAAAAGAAGAGGAAAAATTACATCAGCTGCCATTTTGAATCTAAGCCAGCACTTTGAGTATAATTCCTATGACAGCAACCTACGTATTTGAATTCCCTCTCAATCTGGTAATGGTGCTGACTCCTGCAGAAAGCAGAAGGAACATGGCCCACTTTTACAAGAAGCCTGATTGTCACCCTGTCTATAATCTTAAGGTCGCTTCCTACTCTAGAAAGTGCTGGGATGGGATATACCTTGTAACTGACACACAGTGGAACTTGTGGGATTTTTATATATATGAAGGAGTTGTTCATGGCAGCTCGCTCTTTCATCTTGTCAATATCATCAACTGGGTGCTAGGAAAGACAGAAAAGGAGCATAAGCCCTAAGACGACCGGAGCAAACCAAGATCCTAAATATTACTCCATCCTCAGTCCTAGAGGACACTAAAGACAAAGCAACACCTAGCCAGGTCCACAGAAACTAGTAATACCCCATTTAAAAATCTCTTAAACATACTAAAATGTTTTTACTTTTTGGTTTCTTTTGCCTTTTTTTTGTTTGTTTCTTTTGTTTTAGTTTAGACAGGGTTTCTTGTATATCATCCCTGGCCTGCCTCTGCTTCCCAAATGCTGGGATTAAAGGCGTGTGTCCCCATGCTAGGCTTCTTTTGCTTTTTTGAGACAGGATCTCATACAGTCCAGGCTGCCCTTGGACTCATGATCTTCCAGCTCTTGTCCACAAGTGTTGAAATTATAGAGGGTACCACCACATTCAGTTTCTGATTTTCACATGCCATACCTCAGGTAATTTGCGAAATGATCTTCTGACTCCAGAACTCCTGGTCAAGCCCTGTGCTACACCCTTCCCAGAGCCTAGTGGTACTGCATCATCTGTTGCTATCAGCTGCCGAGGCTTCACTACTGGTATTCCTATGAAAAAGCATGCAAACCAACAGTGAGACTTTTCCTAAAGCTGCTTAGGGCTGCCGCTCCAGTCTCCTGGCATTCTAGCATAACCAGTTCTTACCAGTAGTTACCAGTTTGGACTTATCCTCTTCATCACCAACTTCATCATCTTCCACATTTCGACCAGGAAAGAAAAAGCCCATCATTCTATGGAAAAACCGGTGGGACAGCTGGATGGTGAGCGGCACCACATTTACCTAAGAGGGAAAGAGGAGGTAAAGAAGCAATTAAGCTCAAGTACTATCCTTGTCTTTTATTACTAACTAGTGTAACAGTTAGGTTTTGAACTAACCTTTGATCATGGGTTCCCAAGGTACTATTTACTAACCTCAAAGTGTTCTTTAACAGAGATACCACCAACAGGTGGTCGGACTTTGCTGAAGAGGCGGAGGGCTAGCTGTCTGCCAGACTGGCAGGAACTCTGGGGCCGTAGAACCACCTATAGGACAGAGCGGCCAATAACTCTACTATACATCTTTTAAAAACAAAAGTAAACCACAAATCTGTAGGAGAACTGAAGCAATGGTCTTTGCTAAGCTAGGCAAGCTGTACCATCTCAGATTACAATGCCCTTTAGCCTGAAGCAAGATAAGTGGGCTAGGAATGGGAAAATAAGTCTTGCTGTGTAAATGTGGGATGTAAATTAGCAGAGTGCTTATCATGTACAAGGCCCTGCCTAAATCCCATTCTCCCACACCCCAAGAAAGAACTTGCCTTATAAATAGCATTGGGGAGAAGGTTGTTCATAGTGAACCAGCCCAACTCCAGGAGATGTTCTGCTGTGTCATCAGACTTATTCACCTGTAAGACAGATTTTGTTCTGTTCATTGTAAGGTAATAAGCTAAGCTTCTAGTTTCATTTTTCTCTTTCCTTTGTAAATCAGGATCTCATAAGTCCAGGCTAGCCCTCAAAGTGTGCCTGTGGTTAGCCTTGACCTCCTGACCCTTCTTACCTATACATCTGGAATGCTGAGATTAAACATAAGCACCACACACTCTGCTAACACCTCTTTCAATCTCATGCAACCAACATACTCTCTAACCCATTGTTCTTCTAAGTAATACTAGCTAAACCACTAAATGTTAGTAACTTCCTAGTTATTGTGGCATTTAAATTTCTCATTCATTTTCAAATATCTTTTGTAATTGTAATATTCTTTCTCCTTGGGTAACTGCAGAAATGCTGTCAATATCAGAATGGGGCTATTTCAACTCAACTTGATAGATTACGTCACTCGGGGCCTTAGTTCTAAGAATAATTTCTTGGATAATAATTTTCTTAATGGAAGAAGCATTTGATTAATTATTATTATCATTAATTATCTATACACCTACATCATTTATTACAGGCTGATGTGTCTCTAATCATGACCAACATTAATAAATACAATTAGCCCCCTTTTTAATCTATGGACTGAACTCTTGAGATAGGTCACGCCTCCAACTTGGCTACTGCTGTGTGACTGTGCACTACCCTAATACCTTGCTGTAAAGGAACCTCTGTAGCTCCAGCTCAGCAATTCCCAGCTGTCCATCTTCTTCTGTCAGACGCCAACGTGCCTGAGCAAAGTAAAACTCAGTGCGACGGACCACACTCACATCTTCCTGTTGTTTTCGAGGCTCCATTTTATTGGCTCGCTGTAGTTGGAAATCCTTAAAACATCTATACATGAATAGAAGAGACAAAGGAGTAAGGGAAATAACAACAGCCGGAGTACCCTATAATACTGCAGGCTATAAGCCCAGAGACCAACCTATTCTGGCTAATATCTTTCTTCCACAGGCCACCCCTCACCCCCCATGTCTTGTTTCTGACACCCTGAGCTATGGAACAGATTTCTGATCTTTCAGTTCTATGGCTTCTTAGTAAAGCACTGTTTTCCCACTAATGCCTATGATTATATCTTCAACTTTGTTCTTTACTGATTAATTTTACTGTATTTGCAGTTCAGAAACACACTAAGGCCATGAAAGTGGTATTTCTCAACTACTCAATTTTGTAGCAAAGCTTTTTCCAGGAAGCACTTCAGTGAGAACCCAAAGGAGGGGCTTTTTTTTTTTTCTGTTTTCACTCACTTCTTTGGCCAACCTCAGCAAGGCTTATTCAGGAAGATGTACCTATATCTACTTCTACAACAGTCTTTGAGAATACACATTAAACTTCTGGCTGAGACTGGCAAAGGCTGCTGGGTACCTGATGAGGATGTTCAGTTCTTCACTTTCCAGCTGTAGGTTGGCCTTTTCTTGGTTTAGCTGTAACTGAAGTTTTTGGTTCAGGTCCAGCAAATTCTCATTCTTGCTGTCATCCTGTAAAGACTAAGGAACCAAGAGAAGAATTTAAGAGATCCTCTGTATCTATCATAGGAGATCTGTCCTCAGATTACCCGAGATGACTACCTTCATGATAGAGTACATCTGCTTCTCTAGGTGCCTTATCTGGGCCACATGCTGCCGCACAGCCTCCTGCAGGTGTAATATGCTGCTGCGCTGCTCCTCAGGATTGCTAGAGATCTCAAGCTGGAACCTGACACGCTGTTTCTTTTCACTATGCTCCTAAAAGAAGGGAAAAGGGAAAAATGTACTTTTTGTGTGTGTGTGTGTGTGG